CATTTTTTCTTATTTAAACTATAAATATTGCAAAATTACGGTTATTTTTTCTCCAAGTTGACACCCCACCCAAGTTATGGTCAGGTTTTTGGCAAATTTTGACACACCAAGCTCAAAAGGTTGCCCATCACGGTCATAAAGGAGATGCGGTCACGCAGGTAGGCTGGTCCCAAACTGTTCAGGGCTTTGTAGGTAAGCACCTGCACCTTGAATTGGGCTCGGAAAATAAACGGCAGCCAGTGGACCTCCTTGAACAGGAGGGTTGACCTCTCTCTGTAGGGAGCACCCTCCCCAAAGACATGGGCAAATTCACCTGGGGGGGGGGGTGGAAGTGGAAAACCTGGCCCCACCCACGCTCCTGTTCTGCAGAAAGAAGTGCTTGAATTCTCTGCTTTGGGATCATTTGTGCTATGGAGGTGGGTGGCTCAACCAACAACACTCCCAGTCTCCATCCTCAAAGACTAGCTTTGACTAGCTCCTCCTCTGTAGCTTTGGAGCAGACATCCTGTTTGGCTTGAATGGGAGCCAGTGGCCGAATGAATGGGCTGCCTGTGGCCTTGCTGGGCCCTTTCCATTGCAAGAACGAAGGACCCCTGCGGCCTGCTTTGCAAATCAAACAGGCCTGGCATTGAGCCCTCAGGAGAGGAAGCAGAAAGCGGTGGAGACTGCTATAGATCTAATTTCATGGGACATAGTAGGGAAGAAAGTCCGCTTCTGTTTAGACAGCATTTCTACTAGTGCATCAATAGGAGCCTAGTGTCTAGATCTAAGGAAGTAATGCTATCCCTCTATTCCACTTTGGTTAGACCACATCTGGAATATTGTGTCCAATTCTGGGCACCACAATTCAAGAGAGATATTGACAAGCTGGAATGTGTCCAGAGGAGGGCGACTAAAATGATCAAGGGTCCGGAGAACAAGCCCTATGAGGAGCGGCTTAAGGAGCTGGGCATGTTTAGCCTGAAGAAGAGAAGGCTGAGAGGAGATATGATAGCCATGTATAAATATGTGAGAGGAAGCCACAGGGAGGAGGGAGCAAGCTTGTTTTCTGCTTCCCTGGAGACTAGGACGCAATGGACCAATGGCTTCAAACTACAAGAGAGGAGATTCCATCTGAACATGAGGAAGAACTTCCTGACTGTGAGAGCCGTTCAGCAGTGGAACTCTCTGCCCCGGAGTGTGGTGGAGGCTCCTTCTTTGGAAGCTTTTAAGCAGAGGCTGGATGGCCATTTTTCAGGGGTGATTTGAATGCAATATTCCTGCTTCTTGGCAGGGGGTTGGACTGGATGGCCCATGAGGTCTCTTCCAACTCTTTGATTCTATGATTCTATGATTCTAGTGCCTCTTGCCGGGACAAACAAGAGAGCATGCCCGAAATGTGAAGATGTACAACCTGCCGATCGTAAGGTGTCTATGGCATGTTGTGGAGGTTTCCTTCCTATAGTCATTATAAGTCAAAGACAACTTGATGACAAACAATAACAGTAATTGAAGTTAATGCTGAATTACATTTCTTTTTGTCGTGTCAGGAGCGACTTGAGAAACTGCAAGTCGCTTCTGGTGTGAGAGAATTAGCCGTCTGCAAGGACGTTGCCCAGGGGACGCCTGGATATTTTGATGTTTTTATCATACTTGTGGGAGGCTTCTCTCATGTCCCCGGATGAGGAGCTGGAGCTGACAGAGGGAGCTCATCCACGCTCTCCCAGGATTCAAACCTGCGACCTGTCAGTCTTCAGTCCTTTCAGCATAAGGGTTAAACCCACTGCACCACCGGCATAGAGTTAAAAGAGACCTCGAGGGCCATTCAGTCCAACCACCTGCCAAGAAGCAGGAGGTTGGGCATATGGAGTATTCATGCCAAGTTTGGTCTAGAGATCCTTCATTGTTTGATGCTCTCTGGATGTAGGTGAACTACAACTCCCAAACTCAAGGTCAATGCCCACCAAACCCTTCTGGTGTTTTCTGTTGGTCATGAGAGTCCTGTGTGTCAAGTTTGGTTCAATTCCATTGTTGGTGGAGTTCAGAATGCTCTTAGATTGTAGGTGAACTATAAATCCCAGCAACTACAACTCCCAAATGACAAATCAATCCCCCCAATCTCATAGAATCATAGAGTTGGAAGAGACCTCATGGGCCAACCCCCTGCCAAGAAGCAGGAAAATTGCATTCAAAGCACCCCCGACAGATGTCCATCCAGCGTCTGTTTAAAAGCTTCCAAAGAAGGAGCCTCCACCACACTCCAGGGCAGAGAGTTCCATTGCTGAATAGCTCTCACAGTCAGGAAGTTCTTCCTCATGTTCAGATCAAATCTCCTCTCTTGTAGTTTGAAGCCATTTTCCACATCCTAGTCTCCGAGGAAGCAGAAAACAAGCTTGCTCCCTCCTCCCTGACTTCCTCTCATCTATTTATACATTGCTATCATGTCTCCACTCAGCCTTCTCTTCTTCAGGCTAAACATGCCCAGCTCCTTAAGCCGCTCCTCATAGGGCTTGTTCTCCAGACCCTTGATCATTTGAGTTGCCCTCCTCTGGACACATTCCAGCTTGTCAATATCTCTCTTGAATTGTGGTGCCCAGAATTGGACACAATATTCCAGGTGTGGTCTAACCAAAGCAGAATAGAGCATGGGGAGCAGGACTTCCCTGGACCTAGACACTATGCTCCTAGGATATGCTCTCCCTGGATTCGAACCTGTGACCTGTTGGCCTTCAGTCCTGCCAGCACAAGGGTTTAACCCACTGTGCCACCGGGGGCTAAACTGAATTTAGAATCATACAGTTGGAAGAAACCTCATGGGTCATCCAGTCCAACCTCCTGCCAAGAAGCAGGAGGTTGGGCATATGGAGTATTTATGCTAAGTTTGGTCTAGAGATACTTCATTGTTTGAGTCTACACTGCTCTCTGGATGTAGATTAACTACAACTCCCAAACTCAAGGTCAATGACCACCAAACCCTTCTAGTGTTTTCTGTTGGTCATGAGAGTCCTGTGTGTCAAGTTTGATTCAATTCCATTGTTGGTGGAATTCAGAATACTCTTAGATTGTAGGTGAGTTGGAAGAGACCTCCTGGGCCATCATCCAGTCCAACCCCATTCTGCCAAGAAGCAGGAAAATTGCATTCAAAGCACCCCTGACAGATGTCCATCCAGCCTCTGTTTAAAAGCTTCCAAAGAAGGAGCCTCCACCACATTCCAGAGCAGAGAGTTCCATTGCTGAACAGCTCTCACAGTTAGGAAGTTCTTCCTCATGTTCTGATCAAATCTCTTTTCTTGTAGTTTGAAGCCATTTTCCGCATCCTAATCTCCAGGACAGAAAACAAGCTTGCTCCCTCCTCCCTGTGGCTTCCTCTCACATTTTTATATATAACTAGCCATCCCCTGCCTCGCGTTGCTGTGGCCCAGTCTGGTGATCTGGAAAATAAAGTAATGAGAAAGTGTTGGTTTCTAATATATGTAATTTCTTTATGCTTTTGGGTAAACAGTATTTAATTACGTTTTTTTGACCTGGTGAAGGGAGTTGGACTGGATGGCCTTAAGTATTTTCTATTGGTCATAGGGGTTCTGTGTGGGAAGTTTAGCCCAATTCTATCACTGGTGGGATTCAGAATGCTCTTTGATTGTAGTTGAACTATAAATCCCAGTAACTAGAACTCCCAAATGTCAAGGTCTATTTCCCCCCAAGCCCCATCTGTGTTCCTATTTGGGCATATGGAATATTCATGCCAAGTTTGGTCCGGACCCATCATTGTTTGAGCCCAGAGTGCTCTCTGGATGTAGGTGAACTACAACTTCCAAACTCAATGTCAATGCCCACCAAACCCTTCTAGTGTTTTCTGTTGGTCATGGGAGTCCTGTGTGCCACATTTGGTTCAATTCCATCATTGGTGGAGTTCAGAATGCTCTTTGATTGTAGGTGAACTATAAATCCCAGCAACTACAACTCCCAAATGTCAAGATCAATTTTTTTGAGTGATGGTCACTCCTTGGGTTAGTAGGTGTCTTGTGTCCAAATTTGGCGGCAATTCGTCTAGTGGCTTTAGAGTTTTGTTAATCCCACAAACGAACATTACATTTTTATTTATATAGATTTGTAGTTTCATGATCAAGCGCAAAAGCCGGGTTGCAGCTAAACATCAAAAAAACCAAGATTATGGCAACAAGAATGATTGACAACTGGGAAATAGAGGGAGAAAATGTGGAGGCCGTGGCAGACTTTGTATTTCTAGGTGCAAAGATTACTGCAGATGCAGACTGTGGCCAGGAAATCAGAAGACGCTTCCTTCTTGGGAGGAGAGCAATGTCCAGTCTTGATAAAATAGTAAAGAGTAGAGACATCAGACTGGCAACCAAGATCCATTGCCTAGTCCAAGCCATGGTATTCCCTGTAGTCACCTACGGATGTGAGAGCTGGACCTTAGGGAAGGCTGAGCGAAGGAAGAGAGATGCTTTTGAGCTGTGGTGTTGTTGGAGGAAAGTCCTGAGAGTGCCTTGGACTGCGAGAAGGTCCAACCAGTCCATCCTCCAGGAAATAAAGCCCGACTGCTCATTGGAGGGAAGGAGACGAGAGACAAAGTGGAAGTCCTTTGGCCACATCATGAGGAGACAGCAAAGCCTGGAGAAGGGAATGATGCTGGGGAAAGTGGAAGGCAAAAGGAAGAGGGGCCGACCAAGGGCAAGATGGATGGATGGCATCCTTGAAGTGACTGGACTGACCTTGAAGGAGCTGGGGGTGGGGACAGCCGACAGGGAGCTCTGGCATGGGCTGGTCCAGGAGGTCTCAAAGAGTCAGAGATGACTGAACAAATGAACAACAACAGTTTCATGATCAAGAGAGTTCAATGGAGAATTCTAAATCTCTCCCAAACCACATCCTAGCAAAATGACAGTTGTGAAGTAGCACATATGGTTGGGGGTTACCACAACATGAAGAACTCTATTAATGGGTTGCAGCATTAGGAAGGTTGAGAAACACTGACCTAAACATTAGCAACAACAACGAGATTTTGTTCTGGAACGGATGTTTTATTTCACAGTATTTATATTGGAAATCGTTTTTATAGTGGATCGAAAGCTTCTGGAATGATAGGAGCTGAGAATACCAGTGGTCGTTTTCCTTCTTCCTTAGGCAACCAGCCCAACGTCACTGGTGAGGCCCTGATACATATATGTATATATATGTGTGTGTGTTGGTGGGTGTGTGTGCACTCCACTACTGCCCTACTGTGCAAACCCGTAAATCTCTGAAGGCACTTCCCAGTTATTGCACCGATTGAGTGCTTGCTTCATGATGGACCAATCCTGCCACTTCCGATGGCCACCCAGCAACATTGTTCTCCTCCTCTTCTACTTCCTCGTTTTCCTCTTGCGTGCATCCGTATTGGAAGGGGAGGGCAAGGGGGGAGGATGAGATCAAAAGATAGAGTTGGAGTCACCAAGGTTTGTCTACGTTCCACCGTCTATAACTCGGAAAGCGTTAACAGGCATTTCGAGACCCATGCCCGACGTTTATGATCAAGGATGCTACGTATTTTAAAAGATGGTTGGGATAGTTGACCATCACTCATTCTATCTTCTAGGCAAAGGTGCTGCTGGGTTTTTAAAATGACGTTGTTTGTTGACTTAGAGAGCGGTGTCTTCGGCATCAACTCTGGGTCCAAAAAGCAGCTCAGCGGTAGCTTTTCCGTCATATTTGGGCAAGTTACCTCCAAAATCTGCTGGCAGGATATCTGCGTCAATCTCATGGTAAAAGGACTCGAGTTCATCACCGTGCACATATACCTTAGATAAAAAAAGGAATTTTAAAAAAATAGAAAATGATAAGTAGGCATGACTTGGCACTACTTGTACCTGATGTTCCTGATAAGCTATCTTATCTCAACCATGAATCTTAGCTATCCTTCCTCCTTTGATTCCTGTTTCCTGTGCCCTAAGGTACGCAACATAGACAACCCTGCAAATTGCAGCAGTATCAGGTGCAAGGTTCAAGATCTGACATCTTCAGCTAAACTTGCTAGCCAATATGGCCAGAAAATATGGTGTCAAATCATTTAAAAAGTCAACATGTACAAAACATTGTGCTCAGTGGTCTAAAGCCTCTAGATCAGCAAACTTTTAATTTGGGGGTTGCATGGTAGCATTCCCTGCTAGGAGGACTGGCATCCCAGTGATGGAAGGAAAGGAAAGACGAAGGAGGAAGGAAAGAAAGAAGGAAGGAAGGAAGAAGAAGGGAGGAGGAAGGAGGAAGAAAAAGAGGGAGAGGAAGGAAGGAGAGAAGGAAGGAAGGAAGGAAGGAAGGAAGGAAGGGGGAAGGAAGGAAGGAAGGAAGGAGGGAAGGAAGGAGGGAGGGAGGTAAATCGAAGGATGGATGGAAGGAAGGGAAGGAAGGCTAAAGGAAAGAGAGAAGGAAGGAAAGACAAAAGGGAAGGAAGGAGAATGAAGGGATGGAAGGGAAGGATGGAAGGACGAAGAAGGAAAAGAGGAAGGAGGATGGAGGAAGGGAAGGGAAGAAAGGGGAAAGGAGGGCGGGAAGAGGGAAGGAAGAAAACAAAAGAAGGGAAGGGAAGGAAAAAGGGTGAAAGGAGGAAGGCCCAGGAATGAAGGAATCCGGCACAAGAGGAAGAAAAGGAAGGAAAGAAGGAGAGGAAGGATGGAGGAAGGAAGGAAGGAAGGAAGGAAGAGAGAGGAAGGAAAGACAAAAGGGAAGGAAGGCGAAGGAAGGGAGGAGAGGGAAGAGGAAAAGGAAGAGAGGGAGAAAAGAGGAAGAAAGAGAGAGGAAGGAGGAAAGGGAGGAAGGAAGAATGGAAGGAGAAAAGGGAGAAGGAGGAAGAGGGAAAGGAAGAGAAGGAAGGAAGGAAGGAGAAGGGAGGGGAGGATGGAGGGAGGGAGGAGAAGGAGGAAGGAAGGAAGAAGGAAGGAAGGAAGGAAAGGAAGGAAGGAAGGGAAGGAAGGAAGGAAGGAGGAAGAGAAAGAAAGGAAGAAAGGGAGGGAAAGAGAAGGGAGGGAAGGAAAGAAAGGAAGGAAGGAAAGAGAGAGAAGGAGAGAAAGGGAAGAGGGAGGGAGGGAGGGAGGGAGAAGGAGAAGAAGGAAGGGAGGGAAGGAAAGAGGAGAGGAAGGAAGAAGGAGAAAAGGGGAAGGAAGAAGGAAGAAGAAGAAAGGGAAAGAAGGAGGGAAGGGGAAGGAAGGCAAAGGGAAAGAGGAAGGAAAGAGAGAAGGAAGGAAAGACAAAAGTGGAGGGAGGGAGGAGAAAGAGGGAGAGGGGGAGGACGAAAGAGTTGAAGGAAAGGAAAAAGAGAGGGGGAAGGAGGGAGGGAAGGAGGAAAGAAAGGGAGCAAGAAGGAAGCACGAAAGGGTGGAAGGGAAGGAGAAAGAGGGAATGAAGGGGGAAGGAAAGAGAGAGAAAAAGAGAGAAAGAAAAGAGCCCAGTGAGCTGCATTTGGCCCCTGGACCTGGGTTTCTCCATACCTGCCCTAGATGTTGTTGGACTACATTTCCCAGCAACTGTAGCCACCGTGGGCTATGGAAAAGAGTACTGGGAATTACAGCTCAGCGACTAGAAGGCTGCAGGATTCCCCTTTCTCCCTGTCCTTTGTAATATCAGCTAGAGGAGACACTTTGAATTCATGGAATTTACACAGGTTCTGAATCTGTATCAAATGACGCAATGGATCTACTCAAATTAGGACTATCAGTGGTCTTCAGACCAGCTTCCCAACTCCTCCAAGGAGAATAGTATCACATTTTCCTTGTATTTGATGTTGGTATTGAAGTGGCAAAGCAAACACAAATAAACAGTTCCTGGGAGCAGCTGCATATAGGATCATAGAATCAAAGAGTTGGAAGAGACCTCATGGGCCATCCAGTCCAACCCCATTCTGCCAAGAAGCAGCAAAACTGCATTCAAAGCACCTCTGACAGATGGCCATCCAGCCTCTGCTTAAAAGCTTCCAAAGAAGGAGCCTCCACCACACTCCGGGGCAGAGAGTTCCACTGCTGAACGGCTCTCACAGTCAGGAAGTTCTTCCTAATGTTCAAGGGGATTTTCCTTTCTTGTAGTTTGAAGACATTGTTCCATTGCATCTTAGTCTCCAGGGCAGCAGAAAACAAGTTCGCTCTCTCCCCCCTATGTGATTTCCTCTCACATATTTATACATGGCTATCATGCCTCCTCTCAGCCTTCTCTTCTTCAGGCTAAACATGCCCAGCTCCTTAAGCCGCTCCTCATAGGGCTTGTTCTCCAGACCCTTGATCATTTGAGTCACCCTCCTCTGGACACTTTCCAACTTGTCAGTATCTCTCTTCAATTGTGGTGCCCAGAATTGGACACAATATTCCAGGTGCGGTCTAACCAAGGCAGAATAGAGATATCTATTCACCCATGACATCTCCACCCGACTTGTATGTATTGCCCATATTTTCCAACACTTCATATTTTCATTGTACACCTTCCTGGAATGTAACTCACCCTTTCCAGCAGTTTGTTCTTCAGGAAAGGCTTGACCACGTTGTAGGTTGTGGTGAAGTACCAGGGTTGATGGATGAAGTAGACAGCCTTGAACCGAGCTGGAAAGGAATCCTGGGAAGGCCAAAGGTTGTCATTACACACCCAGCCACAAAAGCAGAAAACGGATTGATGAGGAAGAAAGCAGTCCCTTTTTATGTGTTCACACCCCTTGATTTTCCCTTAGCTAATTTTGGGGCCAATAGGGCAGAGAGGAAGGATTTTGGAAACAGTTTCCATTAATACTCCTATATTAAAATGTGTCCTCTTTATGGGAATGTAACGAAAAACATATTGCAACTTCAATGCTCTGCAACAAGGTTTTAAAAAAAAAACATTTTCCATATTGACCCCTTTCTGCCTGTCATGACTCCTTTGAAATCATGTCATAAAGGTCTATAGGAAATATGCTGCTGTTGTTCTCTCTCTGAGTGTGTATACACACATGCACAATTTTTCTGAGTCAATGAAAGGGAAATCACAGAAACAATAAAAGTTTATTACTCAGAGCTTCGTGTGAAAGGGAAATAGAACCTCTTCCCACAAGGTTACAAAGGGTTGTGGGTATGATGCATGACCCCAGAAGCAACTGGCATACAAGCCTTTATAACAATGGTTCTCAACCTTATTTTGACCAGGGACCACTCTCCAACATTAATACCAAAAGGGTTACGAATCAGTTTTTGGTCAACTTTAGATTCGATTTGGTTATTTGGGGTGCTGATTCAGAAAATTGCATTGCATACACCACATCAGCTCTAGTTTCTGATACAGAACCTACGCCATCCAGTAGTCGCCATCTGCTCGCCCACAGGAAACCATATTTAATAATTTAGAGCTGATTTGGTCTATCCAATGCAATTTTCTGAATCAGCACCCCAAATAACCCCAGGAATAGGCCTAAAAATGAAAATGCCAAGGTGCCACATGGAATGGCTCTGCTCAGAAGGAGGGAGGAGGGGGAGAAGCAGCAGTCACAATGTTTGTCATCATGCCTTTTGTGGCTTAATGGTGTCATATTAGAAAATGTTGACCATTTCCGCTACCTCGGCAGCCACCTCTCCACAAAAGTCAACATTGACACTGAAACACAACACCGCCTGAGCTCTGCAAGTGCAACTTTTTTTTCTGAATGAAGCAGAGAGTGTTTGAGGACCAGGACATCCATGGGGATACCAAGGTGCTTGTTTATAAAGCCATTGTCCTCCCAATTTATTTATTATTTATTTACATTATTTCTATCCCACCCATTTCAGCCCGAAGGCAACTCAGGGCTCCCAACCCTGCTATATGCCTGCGAAACGTGGACTGTCTACAGACGTCACATGCAGCTCCTGGAACAATTCCATCAGCGCTGCATCTGAAAAACCCTGCAACTCTCTTGGGAAGACAGGCGAGCAAAGCTCAGCATGCTGGAAGAAGCAAAGACCAACAGCATTGAAGCGATGCTCCTATGCCACCAACTCTATTCCCAACTGAAGAATGGGAAACATAATGTTGATGGACAGGAAAAGAGATTTAAAGATGGGTTTAAAGCCAACCTTAAAAACTGTGGCGTAGACGCCAAGAACTGGAAAGCCCTGGCCCTTGAGTGCTCTAACTGGAGGTCAGCTGTGACCAGCAGTGCTGCAGAATTAGAAGGGGCACGAATGGAGGGCAAAAGGGAGAAATGTGCCAAGAGGATGGCGCGTCAAACCAGCATTGACCAGGATTGCCTTCCACCTGGAAACTGATGTCCTCACTGTGGGAGAACACATGGATTAAGAATAGTGCTCTGCAGCCGCCTATGGACTCACCGCCAAGACACTTCACTTAGAGGACCATAATCCTTGGACTATGAGGGATCACCTAAGTAACTATTAAAAGAAGAATGGGGCTGCTCCAAGGGGTGCCTATCCTGCTTCTTGCAAGGAACAGAGAGCGGACTCACTCCATCATTGCTCGAGATTGGATCTCACCTGCAGCATGTCCACCATTTTCTTCAGTTCTGATGGTTTGATGCCAGAGGCCTGCTGCATGGTGAAGCCTCTGAAGTTTTCCACGATGCAGAAGCCATTAATTTGAGTCTCCTCATTCTCCAGCAGCCTTTCCAAGATCACGCAATAGGCACGAAGAATCTGGATTTAGGAGAGAGAGACAGAATAGCTGGGCGTGTTGCTCTGAAACCTATCTTCTGGATCCCATCTCCACTTGTTGCCACTGGGAATGACTGCCATAAAGTCTGTCCTAGCTAGTGTTAGTGATGTTACAGCCGTAAAAACTTGGGATACACATTTTAGTAAAGCTCTGGAAAGCACTCTTCCTCATTTTCACCTCACAAGTACAATACATATTGGGTTGCTGTGCGTTTTCCAGGCTGTATGGCCATGTTATCACTTGTTGCTAAACCTTTTTGGATTCTTCTAATCCTGGACTCTTGTGTGGTGTAGTGGTCATAGGTGTTTCCAGGCTTGGAGTGCAGGAGTGGCTTCCAAGTTGTGTAACAGCTGTAAAAGTGAACTGCAGTGGAAGAGAATTAGATGTATGCCATCATGATGCCTGCATCAACGACTACATGACGAGATTGGATCTTGATTTTAACTAAGAGACGCCATGAATCAAAGAATCAAAGAATCAGAGAGTTGGAAGAGACCTCCTGGGCCATCATCCAGTCCAACCCCATTCTGCCAAGAAGCAGGAATATTGCATTCAAATCACCCCTGACAGATGGCCATCCAGCCTCTGTTTAAAAGCTTCCAAAGAAGGAGCCTCCACCACACTCCGGGGCAGAGAGTTCCACTGCTGAACGGCTCTCACAGTCAGGAAGTTCTTCCTCATGTTCAGATGGAATCTCCTCTCCGCTACTGTTTGAAGCCATTGTTTCACGTCCTAGTCTCCAAGGAAGCAGAAAACAAGCTTGCTCCCTCCTCCCTGTGGCTTCCTCTCACATATTTATACATGGCTATCATGTCTCCTCTCAGCCTTCTCTTCTTCAGACTAAACATGTCCAGCTCCTTAAGCCGCTCCTCATAGGGCTTGTTCTCCAGACCCTTGATCCTTTGAGTCGCTCTCCTCTGGACACATTCCAGCTTGTCAATATCTCTCTTCAATTGTGGTGCCCAGAATTGGACACAATATTCCAGGTGTGGTCTAACCATGAGTTATGTAGTATTGACTTTGTAATGCTTGTATATTAATGCTATGGTTTTTAATTCTTTTAATCTGTTTTATGATGAATTTTGCTACTGTAAACCGCTTTGAGTCACCCGAGGGCTGAGAAAAGTGGTATATAAATTGAGTAAATAAATAAATAATGCATTGTCCAAGGTTTCCATGGCTGGAATCACTGGGTTGTTATAGGTTTTTCGGACCATATGGCCATATTCTAGAAGCATTCTCTCCTGACATTTCTCCTATGTCAGGAGAGGTTGTGAGAGGATGTCTGAGGATGCCTGCCATAGATGCAGGTGAAACGTCAGGAGAGAATGCTTCTAGAACATGGCCATTGTGCGGGTACGGCTGTACCAGGAGCTCCAACTTTATTTGCTTTGTATTAAATGTTTGTTTGCAGTCCTAGGTTTCAGGGACTCTGCAGATAGATGGCTTCCTTTGGTTGTAGTCATAGGGCAAGTCACGTGTCCATCATCGTTAAGTTTTGGTTCCACCCCTTGCTCAGGGCAATTGGGAAGGGAAGGGAGCCATTTTTAGTTAGTTTCAGCAAGGAAAGCTAATGTACAGGACGTGTGCAAGCTTCCCCTGTACAAAAGCTTCAACCCTTAAGACTTTCCAGGGGGAAACAGTCTTAAGAGCATCCAAGACTTTCCGGGGGAGAACAGTCTTAAGAGTCTCCAAAGATTTCCAGGAAAACAGCCCTAAAGACCAAAGAACTCCAGCTGGAGAACTTTACTGGTAGGTCCACTCGGTGTTCGAGAAGCAGTTCGACCCGGTAGCGGAGCCCACATCAGTAAGGGTTAGATTACAGTCAGCCTGGGAGAAGTTAAAAAGGGGATTTTCCATTTAAAGTAAAGAAGAAGTTATTGAAGACAGTTGCCTGTCTTCGTGGGCAAGTTTAGGAAGCCACCAGTTGCATAAAAGCCTGGAATCATTTGTTTAACTTTCTGAAGACAAGAGAAGTTTCTGTTTGATTGTTCATTAATAAAAGACTTTGTTATACTTCACAAGCCATCTAAAGACTATTTGTGGTGGAAAACCTCTGAGAACTTCTCCTTGGGCCCCCTGGCTTCCCGCTGGGCAAAGGTTGCACGTCTTGTTCCAAAGGAAATTCTTCACAGGCCCAGCGCGCAACAGAACAGCCATATATCCCGAAAAACTTACAACAATCCAAAATGCATCTATGTTTAGCATGGACAAGACTTTGGCCCAGAGATGCTGACCTCATCAAAGGTGATCTCCTCATAATCCCAGTTCTCGATGTTGAACAGCAGCACTACCCGCCCATACTTGTCCCGGTTGCTCAGAATGCCAGGGTAACCCGCCTCAATGGTGCTGCGCACAGCCTCAGGAGTCAGGTTTTCAAACAGCTCTGGGTATTGCTGGCGGAAGTTGACGTAGCCTGGAATTCGAGGGAAAAGAGAAGTGGCTGACATTGAAACGAGGGACAGAATCAACTATAATCATCTCCTACTAGATTCTAGACGAGGCACAGGCAAACTTTGGCCCTCCAGGTATTCTGGATTTCAACTCCCACAATTCCTAACCGACAGATGCCTCCATTAATGTAATTTTATTGGTATCTATTTTTATTTTGAAACTAGCTGTCCCCTGCCAGGCATTGCTGTGGCCCAGCCTGGTGATCTGGAAAATAAAGTAATGAGAAAGTGTTGGTTTCTAATATATGTATTTTCTTTATGCTTATGTTATTTCTCTGTCAGTCTTGATGCAGAGATTGGGTGTATGGTAGAGTAGTGTGATACTTCTCATATAGGTATTCAATTTATCCACATTTCACATAAGTATACTCTTAACATGGTAAGTGGTATATCTCACACAATTTTACTCCAAACTTGATAAGATTCTCAAGTGTAACCAAGGTTTCAAATTAGGTTATTAATGCATACTTAACATAAAGCTATACACATAGGTAATGTATTGTCGAAGGCTTTCATGGCTGGAATCACTAGGTTCTTGTAGGTTTTTTTTGGGCTATAGGGCCATGTTCTAGAGGCATTTCTCCTGACGTTTCGCCTGCATCTATGGCAAGCATCCTCAGAGGTAGTGAGGTCTGTTGGAAATAGGAAAATGGGTTTATATATCTGTGGAATGACTGGGTGGGGCAAAGAGCTCTCTGCTGAAGCTAGGTGTGAATGTTTCAGCTGACCACCTTCATTAGCATTTGAAGGCTTGGCTGAGCCTGGGAAAATGTTCTGTTGAGATATATTAAAAAACTCTAAAATTACTACAGCAAAACAGCAGAGAGGAAACAACCAGGCACATCTCAACACCTCTCAACAGAACATTTTCCCAGGCTCAGCCAGGCCTTCAAATGCTAATGAAGGTGGTCAGCTGAAACATTCACACCTAACTCTAGCAGAGAAGAGCTCTTTGCCCCACCCCAGCCATTCCACAGATATATAAACCCATTTTCCTATTTCCAACAGACCTCACAGCCTCTGAGGATGCTTGCCATAGATGCAGGCGAAACGTCAGGAGAGAATGCCTCTAGACCATGGCCATATAGCCCAAAAAAACCTACAAGAACCACATAGGTAATGCTTACTCTAATTTTACAGTCCAGTAGTAGTAGTTTTGGTTCTGTAGAACAAATGAGGTCCAAAAATGGTCTTATTGCCATCTTAAATTTGTTCTTAAGTCTTCATAGAGTCAACAAACAGATTAATGTACACATAAATGTTCAAATTCTTCATATGAGTGAAGTTGACGTGGATTTACTTAAACATTAAGAATAAGACCATTTTTGGACTTCATTTGTTCTACAGTTTGCATTATTAACCTAATTTGAAACCTTGGTTACACTTGAGAATCTTATCAAGTTTGGAGTAAAATTGTGTGAGATATACCACTTACCATGTTAAGAGTATACTTATGTGAAATGTGGATAAATTGAATACCTATATGAGAAGTATCACACTATTCTATACCATACACCCTCTTTCCTGTCTACTGCATATTATAGACATCTGTGCGTTTAGCTTGATGCAGAGATTGTTTGCTTTGCCTACTCTGGAACATGCAACATATAGTTGTCCTTCTTTAGGGGTCCCTTTCAAATCTATGATACTCTATCTGTCATATACATATATGTGTGTGAATCATATACATCTGTATCTATATCTATGGCTGGATGGCTCTTTGTCAGGAGGGCTTTGATTATGTTTTCTTGCCCTGGTGAGGGGAGTAGGACTGGATGGCCTTAAGGCAGCATTTCTCAACCTGGGGGTCAAAACCCTGGGGGGGGGGGTGTCAAAGGGGTCGCCAAAGACCACCAGAAAACAGTATTTTCTGTTGGTCATGGGGGTTCTGTGTGGGAAGTTTGGCCCAATTCTATCATTGGGGTTCAGAATGCTCTTTGATTGTAGGTGAACTATAAATCCCAGCAACTACAACTCCCAAATGTCAAGGTCTATTTTCCCCAAACTCCATCTGTGTTCATATTTGGGCAATATGGAGTATTTGTGCCAAGTTTGGTCCAGATCCATCATTGTTTGAGTCCACAGTGCTCTCTGGATGTACAGGAACTACAACTCCAAAACCCAAGGTCAGTGCCCACCAAACCCTTCTAGTGTTTTCTGTTGGTCATGGGAATCCTGTGTGCCAAGTTTGGTTCAATTCCAATTGTGGGTGGAGTTCAGAATGCTCTCTGATTGTAGGTGAACTATAAATCCCAGTAACTACAACTCCCAAATGTCAAGATCTATTTCCCTCAAACTCCATCTGTGTTCATATTTGGGCATATGGAGTATTTGTGCCAAGTTTGGTCCAGATCCATCATTGAGTCCACAGTGCTCTCTGGATGTAGGTGAACTACAACTCCAAAACCCAAGGTCAGTGCCCACCAAACCCTTCTAGTGTTTTCTGTTGGTTATGGGAGTACTGTGTGCCAAGACTGGTTCAATTCCATCGTTGGTAGAGTTCAGAATGCTCTCTGATTGTAGGTGAACTATAAATCCCAGCATCTACAACTCCCAAATGACAAAATCCATTTTTGAGTGATGGTCACTCCTTGGGTTAGTAGGTGTCTTGTGGCCAAATTTGGTGGCAATTCATCCAGCAGATTTTGAGTCATAATGTCACTCAAAACCAACAGAGTATATATACACACACACACACACACACACACGTAGCTGCTACATATCTCACCCTTGGCGTATAAAAGGTTAAAAAGGTTTTCCTCTGACATTAAGTCCAGTCATGTCTGACTCTAGGGTATGGTGCTCATCTCCATTTCTAAGCCGAAGAGCCGGCGTTGTCCATAGACACCTCCAAGGTCATATGGCCAACATGACTGCACAGAACACCGTTACCTTCCCGCCGGAGCGGTACCTATTGATCTACTCACATTTGCATGTTTTCGAACTGCTAGGTCACCCTTGGCGTATACTCGAGTCAATAAGTTTTCCCATTTTTTGTGGTAAAATTAGATACCTCGGCTTATATTCGGGTCGGCTTATACTCGAGTATATACGGCATCATATATGAATTTAAAGAGCAGGGAAAGAGTATGGTTCCATTACTACGCCTCCTTGGTATAGTATGTCCTTCTAGCAGAACAACGTGCAACCACAGAAGCCTGTGGCTTTCCCATTTCTTTGGGTTTTTTTTTTCGTAACACAACAGTTACGAAAAACACATCTCAATCTTGGGCTCGAAGCCCAACAAGTCACACTTTGGGGAAATACAGGTGCCTTTCAGTAATGAACAAAAAGGCAATTCACCGGTCTTGGCAGAGCTTGGCCAGAATCCTGCTGGGGACTTAGGCCTTCCTAAGTGGACTTACATCTATGGGAATTAGAATTGCGCAGTTGTGTAACCTCCACATCCAGAAGAGGGTGGCTGTTACGTTATAATGTTGCAGGGCCAGCAATGTGCATTAATGCCCAGTGAAAGCAGTATATATCCCATTGTTTACAATGTGCAGTGAGCAATAATAAGGGAAAATATAAAAGAAGTGATGAGAAAATAGAGAAGGTTACTAACAGACGACATCAAACATCGAAGTTGTTTGTGCAGAAGAGGGAATTTCAACTGGCATTGATTGTTGCCCGGTTTCATGACAAACAATGCCTGCTGGGATTCCTTCCCTCTTCTACCCAACCATTATAGCTAATGCTAAGACACAGAAATCATCAGAATGTCACTGTGGAACCCACCATCCATAACATCTTTTCAAAAACACGAAGAAAAGGGTACTGAGCTGAGCAGTGGCCAATGCAATAAGCTTTGACATAATAGTGGGTTGTTGTAGGTTTTTTCAGGCTATATGGCCATGTTCTAGAAGTAGTAAGGTCTGTTGGAACTAGGACTTCAGTCTGCTGGAGCTAGGTGTGAATGTTTCAACTGACCACCTTGATTAGCATTTGATGGCCTGGCAGTGCCTGGGGCAATCTTTTGTTGAGAGGGGATTAGAGGCCCCAGATTGTTTCCTTTATGTTGTTTTGCTGTTGTAATTTTAGAGTTTTTTTTAATACTGGTAGCCAGATTTTGTTCATTTTTATGTGTAGAGAAGCCATTGAAATCCACAAGTATGTGGACAATTTCAACAGAAAAGAGGAAACCATGAAAATGAACAAAATCTGGCTACCAGTATTTTAAAAAAATCTAAAATTAGAACAGCACAACAACAGAGAGGAAACAAATAAGGGCATCTAATCACCTCTCAACAAAAGATTGCCCCAGGCACTGCCAGGCCATCATATGCTATTCAAGGTGGTCAGTTGAAACATTCACACCTAGCTCCATCGGACAGAAGTCCTAGTTCCAACAGACCTCACTACCTCTAGAACATGGCCATATAGCCCGAAAACAAATAAGGGCATCTAATCACCTCTCAACAAAAGATTGCTCCAGGCACTGTCAGGCCATTATATGCTAATCAAGGTGGTCAGTTGAAACATTCACACCTAGCTCCAGCAGACAAGAGTCCTTTGTCCCACTCTGGTCATTCCACAGATATATAAACCCTTTTTCCTACTTCCAACAGACCTCACTACCTCTGAGGATGCTTGCCATAGATGCAGGCGAAACGTCAGGAGAGAATGCCTCTAGACCATGGCCATACAGCCCGAAAAAACCTACAACAACCCAGTGATTCCGGCCATGAAAGCCTTCGACAATACATTTGACATAATATGCCGGCCCAAGGACTGATGTTCTTCTATACTCCAGAGTTACCAAACATTGGTCTTCCAGGTATTTTGGACTTCAGCTCCCACAATTCCCAAGCATTGGCCAAGGAAGTGAGGCTTCTGGGAGTTGAAATCCAAAGGACTTGGAGAACTAGAGTTTGAGATGCAAGTTTGAGAAGCTCTGGCTCGGAACATATCTGTAAGCTTGGGCGCAGTTGCCTATGAGATCCCCACCTTTCACCAGATCATAAGCCCTGTTGAGATCAAACTTGCGGGCACGGATGAAACGCAGAAAGAAGGCACTGTCCTTCCCCTTCACTTTTTCGGCCACGGCTTTGCAGATGTCTTCACCTCCTTTGGCTTTCTCTTGTATAAGATCCTGCAGTTCTTTGATGGCCAACTCACGCTTCTCTGGGGTCTCGTTGAGTTCATCCTTAGCCTGTGGAGGAGAGGGGTATGTACATAGCCCAGGAATATAGAAGGAAGGGCGAAGAACGACACAGTAACTAGACACTTTCCCCAGGAAAACTGGTTCTTGGACCACCGCATTCTCCTGGATAAGGAGAAGCAATATCCAAAAACAGTGGTTCCCAACCTGTGGTTCATGGACCACAAGTGGTTCTTAAGAACTAAAATATGGCAGTGGTTCTCAACCTGGGGTCCCCAGATGTTTTTGGCCTTCAACTCCCACAAATCCTAACAGCTGGGAAACTGGCTGAGATTTCTGGGAGTTGTAGGCCAAAAACATCTGGGGACCCCAGGTTGAGAACCACGGGTCTACGGCCTCACTGTTACTACACCGTTGCAATGAGAGTGACAGATCTCGCAAAGCCCTTTTATAGTGCCGAGGCTTATTATATATGGTTTTCTGTTGGTGAGCAAGATGGCAACTACTGGATGGCATATGTTCTATATCAGAAAGTAGAGCTGATGTGGTCTATCCCATGCAATTTTCTGAATCAGCACCCCCAAATAACCAAACTAATCTAAAGTTGACCAAAAAGCGATTTGCAAGCCTTTTGGTACTAATGTTGGAGAGTGGTCCCTGGTCAGAATGGTCAAAACAAGGTTGGGAACCATTGTCCTAGTAGAAGACGATAAGGACATTTCAGATGGGCCATACCGAAGATCAATCTAATACAAAAGTCGAGAGGGGTTGAAGTCCTGGGGTAAGGCCGATGTTGGGTAACGTTCTACTTTCTTAAAAGAGTCTGTAGGACACTGGTGAGCAATATGACAAGGCTGGAGCAGTGGCCAACAGCAAGGCCAATGGTGCCCAATCAGAGAATGAGCTGAAACTTCCTGAGCCAAGCATCACAGAGAAACAGCCCATGTGCCTGGGGCAAATAAAGTGGTCTGGCTCCTAGGAGAAAGCACCCATCAAACCTTCCCCCTTGGAATTCCCTCTGGGAACTGGAGAAGAGTTGAAAAGAACATGTCTGTCCCTGGACGTGCATTCTGGATTGGCAGTTGCCACATTTTAGCCACAACAGGGGAATCCTAAAGAATAGGAAACCAAAGAACTGGGACTGCACCCTTTGAAACTTAGTTGGCTGCTAGGACCAAAGACATTCTAAGGCAATGGTTCCCAATCTGTGGTCCATGGACCACCAGTGGTCCACAAGAATGAAAATATAGTCCACAGCCTCACGTTACAACACCATTTCTTGAAACAATGCAACTAGTCTTGAGGAAATGGGGGATGTCAGGAGAGAAGAGGCTGACTATCCATGAGAGATTACTACTACCACATCAGCTCCAGATTATTAAATATGGTTTTCTGTGGGCAAGCAGATGGCGACCACTGGATGGCATATGTTCTGTATCAGAAACTAGAGCTGATGTGGTCTAGCCAATGCAATTTTCTGAATCAGCACCCCAAATAGCCAAACTGAATCTTAAGTTGACCAAAAACTGATTCGTAACCCTTTTGGTACAAATGTTGGAGAGTGGTCCCTGTTCAAGTGGTCCCTGGTCAAAAAAAAGGTTGAGAACCACTGAGCTAACGTGGCCTAATGTTCTTCCTCACATTTAGATGGAATTTCTTTTCCTGCACTTTTAATCCATTGTTCCATTGTGTCCTAGTCTCCAGAGCAGCAGAAAACAAGCCTCACTATAGTTGCTTCTTGTAAATCCTGCATGAATATATATTTGCAAATGTATATATCTTTTCCAAAAGTAAATGTGAAGCGTTCTTTCCCAGTTGCTACATTTCACTGGAGAAATTACCAGAAATGACTTAGAAGCTTCATCCAGTTCCTCAAGATCTGAATAGAATGTTAAACAAATGTTATGACTGTCTTGAATCTATTGTTGTGGTCCAAACAGATTAAGATGCTTTGCGGGCCTTAAATTAGAGAGCGCCTCTCTGAGCATTCAGATCAGGCAACACTGCTAGATAGTGAGGATCTCAAGTCCTGATTCCGGTTCATGTTTTAGCCTAAGTTCTTGGGTTTTCTGGATTCATGTGCATATTTTGATTCGTGTTTCCCTGGATTCATGCTCATGTTATGACTCATGTTTTCCTGTACCTTTTGGATTATTTGGAGTATTACTTTTGAAATGTTGTACTCCTCACCTGTTGGGTTGGGCTTTTTACTTATGGACTACTTTTTTTGATTACCTGTTGGATTTTGCCTTTCTTATCCCTTTTGGTGATTTTCACTTTCTATATGTAATTGCTTCATTCAACTATTTCATTACTGCTTTTGGAGTCCTGGTTGGTGCTAAGGACAAGGTAAACTCTGAGCTGAGGTGCGGTGCAACATCTATGTCCTAATGTGCAAGTGACACTGCTTTTTTGGAAAGGTAATTTTCAAAAGAAACAGCAGTGCTCATGAACTAAAAATTAAATGGAAATGATTTAATTAAAAAAAACATATTCCAAAGTTTAGCTTAGGAATCTCCAAAAACGATCTCTAGGGTATGTGGAGGACATTTCCACCATGTTTGGAGACTTCTTTGATCCCCCAGGAGTCAGAATGCTATTTTGTGATGTTTTTCAAATAAAGGCGTGGAGATTTATTTTTTTTGCCTCAAATGCTACAAAATGCTTTCTAGAGACCCAAGAACGTTCAAGACCATGTCATGTCCAAAAGTGGCATTTGAGAGCAAAATATGGTATATGTAGAGCAGTTGGCTGGAAGTCAGCTGCGTTAAGATCACTACTGATCGAAAGGTCATGAGTTCAAAGCCAGCCTGGGTCGGAGTGAGCTCCTGACCAAAATTGTGTAGTTTGTTGTTGACCTTTGCAGCCCAAAAGACGGTTACATCTGTCAAGTAGGAAATTTAAGTACCACTTATGTGGGGAGGCTAATTTGACCTACAAAACCCTGTACGGTTCCGGTCCAGTTATCTGTCCGAACGTATCTCCCTCTACGTCCGACCCCGGAGCTTGAGATCATCTGGGGAGGCCCTGCTCTTGACCCCACCGCTATCACAAGTGAGGCTGGTGGGGACGAGGAGCAGGGCCTTCTCAGTGGTGGCCCCTCACCTGTGGAACTCACTCACGGGGGAAATCAGGGCATTATCATCCCTCCTCTCCTTCAGGAGGAGGGTGAAGACGTGGTCATGGGACCAGGCCTTTGGGCAATCTGACAATTAAATAAGACAATCAGACGAGTAAGACCAACAGGACTGACGAAGTGGAATTGAAAATTAGAACTATGAGTTAGCGAACGCTGACCGTGTAGGAGGAGGAATTGGGTTTGTATTGGTTTTATTTATTTTATTGATTTTATTGGTATAAGGCATGAATTGTTGTTAACTGTGAATTTGATGTAATTTTGTGTGTTGATTGTTCTGTGATGCGGGCATCAAATTGTGCCTTTGCTTTTGTAAGCCGCCCTGAGTCCCCCTCGGGGTGAGAAGGGCGGGGTAAAAGAAACCGAAATAAAATAAATAAATAACTGATTTACGAGGCCATAAAAATATCCAGGAAGTATGCAAAGAATGAGGAAGCGACAGCTCCCCTGGTGGCCAGAAGCTGGAATGTTAAATAGCCTCTGAGTGTCTGTCTATATATGTTGTGCGTCTATGGCATTGAATGTTTGCCATATATATGTATATTGTAATCCACCCTGAGTCCCTTGTGGGGTGAGAAGGGCGGAATATGAATACTGTAAATGAATAAATAAGTAAATAAATAAAATATGGGAGTTAAGTTGCCCAACTGTACTCTATAAGCAGTCCTTTATTCCTGTCACCTTTCCCAAGAATTCTTACCTTTTGTATGGTGTGGTCAGGAATCTTATCACATTTCCCAAAGACGGGTCCATGGTCCTTGGTGGTCAGGCGCTCGAGTTTGGCACGCAAAGCCTGCTCCTCTTCCGAAACAATCCTAAATGTGCCAGTCTAGGAGTGAAGCCACAAGAGCAAAGGGGTTTTGTCCACTGTCAAATCAACTGTTGAGGCCAAAACTCTGAAAATGGCTGAGCCAGCTTATCCTCAATGAGGACAGCCAAGAAAGGAGCAAACCAAAGGGAGGAAGATCAGTACTCACCACGGAAGTCATAGTTATCGCCTTTTCCTCCTTAAAACACTGAAAGGAAGAAGAGACAATCTGAAGTCATTTAACAGCAGCCATTGAAATACACAAAAAGCATGTGGACAATTTCAACTGAAAGGAGAAAACCATGAAAATGAACAAAATCTGGCTACCAGTATTTAAAAACTCTAAAATTACAACAGCAAAACAACAGAGAGGAAACAAACAAGGACATCTAATCACCTCTCAACAAAAGATTGCTCCAGGCACTGTCAGGCCATTATAGAATCAAAGAGTTGGAAGAGACCTCCTGGGCCATCCAGTCCAACCCCATTCTGCCAAGAAGCAGGAATATTGCATTCAAATCACCCCTGACAGATGGCCATCCAGCCTCTGTTTAAAAGCTTCCAAAGAAGGAGCCTCCACCACACTCCGGGGCAGAGAGTTCCACTGCTGAACGGCTCTCACAGTCAGGAAGTTCTTCCTCATGTTCAGATGGAATCTCCTTTCTTGTAGTTTGAAGCCATTGTTCCTTGTCCTAATCTCCATGGAAGCAGTAAACAAGCTTGCTCCCTCCTCCCTGTGGCTTCCTCTCAAATATTTATACATGGCTATCATATCTCCTCTCAGCCTTCTCTTCTTCAGGCTAAACATGCCCAGCTCCTTAAGCCGCTCCTCATAGGGCTTGTTCTCCAGACCCTTGATCATTTTAGTCACCCTCCTCTGGACACATTCCAGCTTGTCAATATCTCTCTTGAATTGTGGTGCCCATTATAAGCTAATGAAGGTGGTCAGTTGAAACATTCCCACCTAGCTCCAGCAGAGAAGAGTCCTTTGTCCCACCCTGGTCATTCCACAGATATATAACCCCATTTTCCTAGTTCCAACAGACCTCACTACCTCTGAGGATGCTTGCCATAGATGCAGGCGAAACGTCAGGAGAGAATGCCTCTAGAACATGGCCATACAGCCCGGAAAAAACCTACAACAACCCGTCATTATTTAATTGTTTTAAATGTTATTTTAATTTAATTTTTAATATTTTGATTGTACTGTGGTTGCTTTTATGATGCTAGCATCATATGATGCTTTTGTTAGACCGCCCTGAGTCCCCCTTCGGGGGGGGGGGGGAGAAGGGCGGGGTATAAATATAGGAAATAAATAATAAATAATAATAATATTCGCTTCTTTGGTTATAAACAACTGAAAAGGCAGGACATGCAGACAGAGTTATTGATTGGGGTCAACAGAATGCAGCTCTGTTGGAAACGAGAAACGAGACCATAAGATAACAATCCACCACACTTGACTGTGGGAAAAAACAATCCCTTTTTATTGATGAAAAATGGTTACAAAATAGAGGAAAATGCAAAGTCAAAAAGCCACAGTAAAATTCAGCAGTCAGGAATATCCATGAACATCCAAAAGCAACACTGTAAAAACCTGGAACCTGTTAGCAAACCACTAACCGTACTTGGAGCACTAGAAGCCTCTTGGGATGTAGGCCATGGGAAATCTGCCAAGGTCTAAACAATGCCTGATCTAACAAGACAACCCAGCGAGAGGCACTTAAAACTGAAGAAACTATTTCGTGACACGCCTCCAGGCTTTGAAGCCTGTATTTCCTTTTCCCTTAATCTGCTTGACCTTCGCAGACTCTGCGATTCACTCCTGTTTTTCCAAATCTGTCCTTTTCTATCCTCGTTAAGGAAGCCAGGTGTTAGCTCCTCTGGAGAGCTATCACCGCTTGGCTCTGAAACAGTTTCACTTTCCAAGCCACTGACCTCAGAATCAACATTTTCATTACCACCAGGGAAAAATACATGTTCAGTAGCATCAGGAAATACAATCAGAGAATCAGGTTCAGGTTCAGCAATCAGAGAATCAGGTTCAGGTTCACACGCAGGCTGAACCCCAAGAGTCACGTATGACCTGAACGGCCCCTAGAATCACCAAACCAACCAAGTAGTCCTCTTCTGGCAAATATATATATATATATATATATATATATATATATATTTGGCCTGAGTCTATGGTTCCCTGGGCACCTTCTTCTCCACCTGGCTGCATTAACTGACTTCAATAACTTTTCAACTTAGTTTGCTGCAACTGAAGTAAGCTGAGGACAAAAAGGGGAAAGTAGGAGTAGGGAAGAACAACTGGGGCATTTTAAAAGCTGGCGAGAAGTGTCGGTCTGCTGCTGCAATCCTGTGACAGGTTCTTTGGCACCTTAATGATGAACAGAACTATTTCTGTAAAACCTAGACTATGGCCTGTGTAGTCCAATACATCGCAAAGGCTTGTCCTTGGTGCTTTTGTCCATGAAACCCAACACCACAGTAAATCTATAATAATAAGTAAAGGTAAAGGGAGGGTAGTAGAGGCAAAGATGAAGGACTTTGGCCACATCATGAGAAGACAGGAAAGCTTAGAGAAGACAATGATGCTGGGGAAAATGGAAGGAAAAAGGAAGAGGGGCCGACCAAGGGCAAGATAGATGGATGGTATCCTTGAAGTGACTGGTTTGACTCTGAAGGAGCTGGGGGTGGTGATGGCCGACAGGGAGCTCTTGCTTGGGATGGTCCATGAGGTCACCTAGAGAAGACAATGATGCTTGGGAAAATGGAAGGAAAAAGGAAGAGGGGCCGACCAAGGGCAAGATGGATGGATGGTATCCTTGAAGTGACTGGATTGACCTTGAAGGAGCTGGGGGTGGTGACGGCTGACAGGGAGCTCTGGCGTGGGCTGGTCCATGAGGTCACCTAGAGACGACAATGATGCTAGGGAAAATGGAAGGAAAAAGGAAGAGGGGCCGACCAAGGGCAAGATGGATGGATGGTATCCTTGAAGTGACTGGACTGACCTTGAAGGAGCTGGGAGTGGTGACGGCCGACAGGGAGCTCTGGCGTGGGCTGGTCCATGAGGTCACGAAGAGTCGGAAACGACTCAACACTCAAAGGTAAGGTTTCCCCTTGACATTAAGCCTAGTCATGTCTGACTCAGTGGGGTGGGGGTGCTCATCTTCATTTCTAAGCCAAAGAGCCGATGTTGACCATAGACATCTCCTAGGTCATGTGGCTGGCATTTGGTGGCATGCGCCTGTAATCCAGTTGTGCAAAGGCTGAGTGTGGCAGATGGCATGAGATCAGGAGTTCTGGGCCACGGCGGGTTATGCCAATCGGGTGTCCATGCTAAGTCCAGCGTCAGCATGACTGCATGGAACACAGTTACCTACCAGCTGGAGCGGTACCTATTGATCTACTCACATTTGAATGTTTTCAGATGCCTGTAATCCAGTTGCGCAAAGGCTGAATGTGGCGGATGGCATGAGATCAGGAATTCTGGGCCACAGCAGTCTATGCCAATCAGGTGTCCGGCATCAACATGTCTGCATGGAACACCGTTACCGTCCCACTGGAGCGGTATCTATTGTCAACTCACATTTGAATGTTTTCAAAATGCTAGGTTGGCAGAAGCTGGGGCTAACAGTGGAAGCTCACCCTGTTCACCAGATTTGAACCGCCAACCTTTTGGTCAGCAAGTTCAGCAGCTCAGCACTTTAACCCGCTGTGCCACCAGAGGCAATAATAATAATAATAATCAATAATAATAATAATAATAATAATATATAATAATAATATACAATAATAATAATAATAATAATAATAATAATAATAATAATAACTTCATTTATATTCCATCCTATCTCCCTGAAGGGACTCAGGGTGGATTCCAGTCACGAGAAAGGGAAACATTCAATGCGTGAACATAATAACTAGTCTAAACACATAATAAGGAAAATTAAACTACACAGCCAAAAGATGGGGGAAACCAATATATATACCTCTTATCTATGTATAATGGTCTGTCTAGTTATGTATAAATGGCATTAAATGTTAGCTGCATATGTGTGTTCTGTGATCCACCTGAGTACCTTTTGGGGTGTAAAACGTAGAATATAAATATTGTAAATAAATAACAAATAATATAAAAACAAATTGCAAGTTACGCCTCTTTTAGGTTTACTGTGAAGACTTCGAACGTAAACATTCCACGTTAAATAGCAAGCTCCAGTTGAGAAGGCAATGGAAGATCTCAGAAATGGGAAAGAAATTGGCTGGATTCGCATTTTTGAAGAAAAATATCCATTGGAACGCTCCCCGGATGGCAAAATAGAAATGCATTTTGCTTTGGGAATTCAGTCGTTTGCAAGACGAAATGTAACAACGTACTCCAAACCATGTTCGTGTCTCAGAAATGCACACAGCTAATAGCAATGAGAAAATACACCCAAATAGGTCAATACAAAAAATAAAAATAAAAATGAGAAATTCAGTAAAAAAGGGACAAGTTTGCTATATCTTTAGCCCCATTTTAATGCTAGTCGTCTCCACTTAAACAAGACCAAGCAGACAATGATGAGGAAAACTACCGTATATACTCAAGTATAAGCCGAGACATCTAATTTTACCCCCAAAACTGGGAAAACATATTGACTCAAGTATAAGTCGAGAGAGGGAAATGCAGGAGCTACTGGTCAATTTCAAAATGAAAATAGATACCAATACGATTAAATTAATTGAGGCATCAGTAGGTTCAATGTTTTTGAATATTTACATAAAACTGTAACTTAAGATAAGACTGTCCAACTCTGATGAAACCATTGTTCTCACTTTCTTCAATGTAAATGTGCTCACGTATCCTTGCAATAATAAAAAAGATAATAAGATAATAAATGTAATAACAATAATAATAATTGAGTAAAATAATGGAAATGTAATAATAAGAGTTATAATAGAGTAAAATAATAAATGTAAATAATAAATCTATATAAGTAAAAATGTAATGCTCGTTTGTGGGATTAATAGAACTCAAAAACCATTGGACGAATTGACACCAAATTTGGACACAAGACACTTAACAACCCAATCTATGTCCTTCACTCAAAAAAATTGATTTTGTCATTTGGGAGTTGTAGTTGCTGGGATTTATAGTTCACCTACAATCAAAGAGCATTCTGAGCCCCACCAACAATGGAATTCAAGCAAACTTGG